AATCTCTCTGAGAGATGAGGCAGTGACTGATAATGACCTCTTATTTGGGAGATAATCTTAAATCCATTATGTTGATAGTGGGTGGAATAAGTCTTCCATTGCACAGTCACCGAGACTTAGCACCGAGTGATAACTCATTTGGGGACATTTTCCAGCTTAATGTAACATATGGTGAGAATGATCTGAGAAAATACACATGCACCTTAAATAATGTGCTGGAAATGGCAAGCTGGGCATAAAGCGCTTTGTACTCATCCTTAGAAGGGAGGCCTTAATTAGAACAAGGGAAGATATTCATCAAGGTTGGAGAATCTACTTTCCATGGAAGTAATTTTAGGGGCCCTCCCAGGGAGGCCTCCCCACTCACTCACACTTTATTAGCAAATTCTTGACATTTCACTTTTAGTGCTTTACTCAGACTTAAGATTTTGAAGGATGTTAGAAAGCAAATGCAAATAACTTGGAGCAGTAACCCTGTCATATGAATGAGGTTTTGGATTCTTTCCTGAAGGTCAAATGGATAGATGGAGAGATGAGGGACTATTAGGGCTCTTAGTACATGATTAGGGTTGGCAGGCTATGTAATGGGAACGTTTTTCTCTTTAGCTGGGACGGTCAAAGTCATGAAAATTAGGTTTCACCTATTCCACTGCTGTGTTTGGCATGAGCACAGCCTTACTGGCCAATGAGAGTTCTGTTTTTCCAAAAGGCAGCTTCATCTTAGTAATGGTTGCTATAGACTGGATATTTGTGTCCCTCCTCCAGTTCATTTGCTGAAACCTAATCCCCAACGAGATGGTATTTGGAGGTGGGGCCATTGGGAGGTGACTAAGTCATAAGGGCAAAGCCCTCATGAATAGGATTAGTACCCTTGTAAAAGAGACCCCAAAGAGCTCCCTCACCCCTTGATCCATGTAAGGACACAGCAGAAAGACGGCCATCTATGAAGGAGGAAGTGGGTCCTCACCAGACACCAAATCTACTGGCACCTTGATCGTGGACTTCCTAGCCTCCAAAACTGCGAGGAATAAATGTTTGGTGTGTAAACCACCCACCCTATGGTATTTTTGTTATAGCAGCCCGAATAGACTAAGACAATGGTTATCTTTAATCCAAGACCCATTTATATCCATACTATATCTTGTTGCTTATGACATCCCTTTGCTGCAAATCACTGGCCTTGATGTGATATGACTGACTTCTGATCTTTCTTTCTTTGATTTAAAATTGCCTGACTGAAAATAAAAGGGGGGAGGGAATAAAGGAAAAGCTTTCAGGTTTTCTTTGATTGGAAAAATGAATTTCTTTTAGATGTTATAAGAGTGATGGCCTAATTTAATACATATACTTTATATCCATAATTTGACAGAAAGCTAAAGAAGACCTTAAGTTTCCCAGAAGATCCTCTGTAGAATAC